ATTGACATGTTTTTCTGTAGTTGGTATATTCGTGTTTTATTGTAGTAGGTATGGACATGTGTTTCTGTAGTTGGTATATTCATGTTTTTTGTGGTAGGTATGGACATGTGTTTCTGTAGTCGGTATATTCATGTTTTTGTGGTAGGTATGGACATGTGTTTCTGTAGTTTGTATATGCATATTTTATTTTAGCTGGTATGCACATTTTTTTCTGTAGTTTTGCTATATATGTTTAGTTGTAGCTGGTATGTACATGTTTTTCTGTCGTTTGTATTTACATGTTTTATTGTTGTAGGTATATGCATGTTTTAGTGTTGTAGGATCCACAGATTTTACAGCAGTAGGATACACGTTTAAAACATGTTTTATTGTAGATGGTATGGACATGTTTTTCTGCCGTTGCTATATACGTGTTTTATTGTAGCTGGTGTGTACATGTTTTACTGTAGGTGTTATGTACATGTGTTATTGTAGTTGGTATAAACATGTTTTTTAAGTGTGGTAAATATGTTTTTCTGTAGTTGGATACACAGATTTACTGTATTAGGTTACTTAAGTTAGTAAGTACATGTTGTACTGTTATTGGGATAGTCATTTCTCTGTAGTAGGATACATTGGTTTTACTGTAGTTGGTATGTACATGTTTTACTGAAGTTGGTTTATACGTTTCACCGCAATAGGCTACAAGGGTTTTATTGAAGTTGTTGTAGACGGTTTTACTGTTGTATGTTATACAGGTTTTAGTACACCATTGTATGCAGGTTTTATTGTTGTTAGAATATTCAGGTCTTGCACTGTTTGGCGAAAACCGGGGGCACTGTTGTTGGCGTATGCAGATTGCAATGTCGTATGAAAAATAGGTTTTACTGTGGTATGTTGTGCATGTTTTACAGCAGTCGACAGGTTTTACTGTTGTGTGATATATAGTTTTACTGTAGATGATATATACATGTATTAGTGTAGTTGGAATACACGGTTTTACAGTGGTTTGTATATAATGGTTCTAATGTAGTTGGTGTACGTATAGTTTACATGTGGTTGGGGTATGCAGGTTTTATTATGGTCAAGTTGTACATGTTTAACGGAAGTTGTATACATTGATAGCTGAAGTTGAGTATACAGATTAAGCTGTATTCAGGTGTATAGATGTCAAGCACTGGGTTGTCTGGTCCAGACTCGATTATTTACAGACCGCCGTCATATAGCTGGAATATAGCGGCGTTAAACAACAGACAAAACATGCTTAACGGCAGTTCTTTTATACCTTTATAGCTGCAGTTGGGTATGCATGTTTAACTGCAGTTCGTTGGATTTAAGTTGAACTGTTTTCTTCAAACACTTTCGTCAATCTATCTGGGAACATAACCCTGATCCACGAATGTTATCTTAATACGTCAATAAACCCTCCTTTAAGTCATTCAACCAGCATATTTTGTCATTTCAGCCTCACGAAGTAATTGCACCTTCACATCGACATAAACCGTCGCTTGTTGACCTTGATCCTAGCGCCAAGATGATGCCTGCGGTGGAGTCGCATCCAAGTAAGTCACACGTCTACCAAATCCTTAATATAACAGTGAAGTTGTTTAAATTGACACATTTCCGGGTTGGTGAAATTAGGATATAAACTACTGTGTTTTGAATTTAGAGCAGGTTACCTGTATATTTGTATGGGCTCCTTGTGGTATAAGAGAAATTCTGTATTTCTTACACACATGTGGGTGGGCGGGCGAGCGAGCGAGCGACTGGAAATTTGATTACCTCTACTGACTGTGATACATGTCATTTCCTTTTGCGAAGGTACCCGAAAATAGATGCATTGGTCATGTTTTCTCGAAAAGTAAAACCCCGGAAAAAATGTCTCAGGATTTACAACAAAGTCACACAAGGCGGCAACAGACTCATTTCCTCTTCAAGAAACATTTGACAGTTTCGTATTGTTAAAGCAGCTAGAAACTGTTCCAACTCGACACTAGAGATACTTGTCATTCTGTCAATATGCAATGGCTTTGATTGCAATATATAATTAAAATAATATATCATACTGCTTCTTAAAGTTTTAAACAAATTTCGACAATATCAACGACGAAATTGGAAATGTGAAAATAGAGTAGGCAAGTTGTATTATATTCTTTTTTATGTCCTACTACTTAGTGTTGCAGATAGGGTAACAGAGTTTACTTGTTGAAATGGTGGAATCAATGTTTGATCAGTTTTTCTTCAAACTGGCGTTATCATTTAATGGAAATTTCTCGTTTGATTAACAGATATAAACCAGATAGCGTGCTTTAAAGAGAGATGAAGCTTCACAATGATGAATGGTGGTCCTGTGAGTAAACATTGCGCAATAATCGCGATTACCGTTTTACACTGTGGGATTTCATGGGTTGTGATAGTTTGAATGTCAGAACATCACTGAGTTGAATCGAGAACAGGAGATGCTAGGTTGTTCTGACCCGGAATCCGAGTGCAGCTGTAGCGCTTTGTAGTGTGTGAGGCGGGTGAGAATGCGGGTGGAGCGGGATTGGGGGGGGGTGTTTGGGGGGGGGGGGGGGGGGGGGGGGAGAGGCAACGAATGACCCCGTCGTCTAAGGCACCGCAAGTCGCTGTGTACAATTGCGTCTCTCGGAAATGCTCGCAACCAGTGTGCGTGCGTGCGTGCGTGCGTGTCCGTTTGTTAACGTAGATACTCCACTCGGACGCATAATACTGTCCTTGTCTTTACCCCTAATTTTCAGCGCCATCAGGGTAACAACAAGTACCATATTTTAACGTCTTTTGGTAAGACGGGGACGGGGATCGAAACAACGACCTTCCGCTCTCCGAGCAGACTAGACCACATGCTTCGAATCCCCTTCAACAAAGTGGTAAACGACTGAGACCTGCATCACTTCGGGCTTTCCTCCCACATTAAGCTGACACGCCCTGATATAACTGGAATACTGTTAGCGGCGTTAGAGTACACTTACTCACTTGTCGTTAGTGATCTTGAGTGACTATTGTTTTACGCCTCTGTCAGCAGTAAATCACGGCGGTCGAGCGGGGTCGACATACAGCACTCCACGTCGTCGGGTTGTTATGACACGCTGTCAGACAGGTCACACGTTGTGTGAATACAATAGGAGTTATGTCTACCGATTGATACCTCACAAACAGTAGGCTGCATTTCTCTTCATTGATGAACAATTGTACTTGCACCTGACATGCAATACACTTTACACGTTGGGAAATTCAAGTAGGACCGTCATTAGTGGAGATGTACAACAATGCTCCATTTACCCAGACCCCGTTAATCCGGATGTGTGTAAAGTCTGTACGAACTAGGTTTACATTTTATACATTTATAAAACTCATAAAATGTGGCCGAGAATTCCCCACAGAACTCGTTCCCCCACTACTGTTTACAGTTATTAAACAAGCCTTTGAAAACCTGTTGTGAGTAATTCATGTTCTGGAAAATACGATTAGTGTCACTCTAATTCATGTATGCACTGCTTTGCCATGACAGAATATAGATATGTATTTTTACGATTTATATCCGGGTCGAGAATTGAAGTTCCAATTGTAGTAGTAGTAGTAGTAGTAGTAGTAGTAGTAGTAGTAGTAGTAGCAGCAGTGTCATACAAGCTATGTAATGCTTAGTTGAAGTTGAAGACGTCAGTTGTTGATGCACCAACATAGTCGTGTTAGTAGTATTAGTAGTAGTAGTAGTATTAGTAGTAGTAGTAGTAGTAGTAGTAGTAGTAGTAGTTTTAGTAGTAGTTGAAGTACAAATTTTAATGGTTGTAGTAGTAGTAATTTTAGTCACAGTAGCAGTAATATAATGCTGTATGGTGCAATTCTCTATTTAATCGTGCATTCAAAGACCCATTTAGCAAGCAGAACGCACATCAGATTCTTTGAAGATTTTGCCACATCCACTTTGTTTTCATAACTGTAAACGTGCAATTACTTTAAGAGTTGGCTTTCACTCTGTGTGAGTTCTTTGGAGTATGTGCCTTCATTGAGTGAGGACCAGATTGTGTTGGCGTTGGAGCTTGCGTTCCGAGACGAAGCAGACATACAGGAATAACAGTTAACTATTTTAGTCTTATTGTGTTTATTAACAGAAATCGCCCACACAGGACATCGCATGTCCACCTGCCGTATCACCCGATCCTATACACCTTTACAAAACAAGACTTATGATGACATTATCCATGCATTAGAGTCATTCCGCATGAAGTTAGATATACAGAGATACGAGTTAGACGCCCCAGACATCCATCCAGTAGGCTCTAACCGTTAAAAATACTTGCCGTGTGCAGATATATGTCAACACGGGGTATTTAGTACATATTGAGAACAAAAATCAGGGCAAAAGTGAATCTGTTAGTTGGATTTATTAACCCTAATATATTTAGAGCGAATGACCACACGAGATGTTCGCAAAATATATATTTTTTTATTAATTACGTAAGTGTTATGAATATGATCACATCCTTACAAACTTTAGCAAACCAAGACATTTTATGACGGCTATCAATGATATTTATCTCGCCACGTGGTAGCATCTTATTTTGAGTTAACAATTACTGTATCCGAAAACAATGGAAATCAATTATCATTTTGTCGTTCATCTACCTTTCAATATATGGAGACGTTTCGGGCAGAAAAAGATGCTTCCCTCCGCCGTACTAGGATCCGCTGGTCGTGGATTTGAATGCCTTATGAGCTCGGATTACGATCCACGCTTTCTCGCCCAAGTAACACCGTTATGTCTAGCGGTAAACACTCGGAGGGCAAATCAAACAGGTACACTGGTGGGACATTTCCAATTGAAATATTATTTTCTGCCAGTGCAGTATTTATGAAGGTGAACTAACAGATCAAACTTAATGACTTTGTCTTGTTTCATTTTTTTTTTTAAAAGTGTCTTATCTTATAAGAAACCCGTGAAGATACGGGTTAGAATTGGTCTTCAGCAACCCAGTTTGTCGCGCGAGACGACTAACGGGAACGGGTGGTCAGGCTCGCTGACTGGTTGATGCATGTCATCGTCCCAATTGCATGGATCAATGCGTATGATAACCATAACTGAATTGTCTGGTCCATACTCGATCATTTACATACCGTCATTCTATTGCTGAAATATTGCTGAACAAACGTTAAACAACAAACAAACAATATCTTATCGGAAGCCGATGATTTTGGGACACATGTTAGGGTAGGGATTTTACTACGCTTTGTTCAATATTCCACACGTCACCGCGACTGATCAAATGCTTAGTTTTCTCGCTGTTGCTTCAAGCAGCCAATATCCTCAAGTTGTTATCGTTCTGTTGTTGTCCTTCTGTTGGTATCCTTCTGTTGTTATCCTTCTGTTGTCCTGTTGTTGTCCTTTTGGTGTTGTCCTTCTGTGTGGAGAAATACTTCTGGTACTAAGTTTATGCTTGCACAACCATTACGTGGTTACCATTGAACTTTTTAATCCTCACTAATCATGAAAGTCGGTGGCCAAAACAACCCTGATTTGGTTTCAGATCCTGTTTTTGTTAATGCTCCTCCAAAAAAACTAGGTTAATCCCCAAACTGACTCGGAAATTGTTATTGTCGATAGGAAGGGAATCTCTACATTTACATCATAAAAATAATAGCAAGGGATACCTTTAAAGGATTGCTTTCTGTCGGCGGCTGTTTGGTGAAGAGTTACGTCACACGCGATGAAGCAACTGATTCCCGAGGCGGGTATTGATGGAAACGTGTTCACAGTCTGTACCCCCGGGGCAGCTCCTCAGGTACCGTCCGGTGTTTATGTGAGATAGGTCTCTAAATCAATTCACGCTTGTGTACTTGAAAACCTCTTCTACCTTGATAAGCTTTTGAAGGCTGGATCTTAAAAAAACATATGCTAATGTAAGGAATTTGCAGGTGAATCTGTTGGTCACGTGTGAATCTACAATGTTGTGCAGCAATATCTAACACTTTGCTGATGACGTAGCTTGACGATTGCTACGTTGAACTCAGTTAGTTCGAGGTGGGAGTTTGGTTTGGATTTTATTGTATTACGTATAGTTATAGTGCTTTTGATTGAATCTCCACAAATTAGTTAAGCTCTATATGTTACGTAATTTCCTCGCGGGCTCTTCTCCGTGTTACGGACTGTTAACTTTAGAATGATATTACTAAGAACTCAACGGTAGACATAACTCCTATTGTATTCACACAACGTGTGACCTGTCTGACAGCGTGTCATAACAACACGACGACGTGGAATGCTGTATGTCTCCCCGACCCCGCTCGACCGCCGTGACTAACTGCTGACAGAGGCGTAAAACAATAGTCACTCAGGATCACTTTTGTTTTTGTTTGTTTGTTTGTTGTTTAAAGCCGCACTCAACAATATTCCAGCTATATGACGGCGGTCTGTAAAATAATCGAGTCTGGACCAGACAATCCAGTGATTGACATCATGAGCATCGATCCACGCTATTGGGATCGATGACATGTATCAACTAAGTCAGCGAGCCTGACCAGCCGATCCCGTTAGTCGCCTTTTACGACAAGCATAGTCGCCTTTTACGGCAAGTATGGGTTGCTGAAGACCTATTCTACCCCGAATCTTCACGGGTCCTCAGGATCACTAAAGACAAGTGAGTAAGTATACTCTAACGCCGCCAACAGTATTCCATTTATATCAGGGCGTGTCAGCTTAATGTGGCAGGTCTCAGACGTTTACCACTTAGGTGAAACCCACGAGCACGGGTATGGTGCTGACAAACCTAGAAACATAATCGGAGCAACTGGGGATTCGAAGCTCGTCGAGTGGGTAGTGCGTCTGCCCGGAGAGTGGAAGGTCGATGGTCTGATCCCTGGGCGCGTCATACTAAAAGACGTTAAAATATGGTACTTGTTGTTACCCTGCCTGACGCTCGGCATTAGGGGTTTAAAAACAAGGACTGGTCGGAGTCAGTATAATGTGTCCGAAAGGGGTATCCATGTTCACACACGCGCACGCACCCACGCACACACCCAATCACCTACGCCTTCGACCACTACCACGACCAACATTAAAAAAAAACACCCCCGACCCCCGAAAAAGTTCCAACGCCATTTACAATCAGTCCAAAGATCACCTGTGATGTAGGCAGAGCATGAATCAGGTAAAACGTTATTACAGACGAATATAGAGTTTGAAGACTATTCAATAATAATGTGTGCAAGAACACCGTTCCCTCTTGCAATAATATGTCTCTTACTGAAACCATACATGACAGGGGTTTCTCAATTGTGTACACTTCAATGAATATCTTAAGGTGTCCGTTTTGCAGTGAAAATGAATGGAAGTAGTTTCAGGTAAATGTAGGTGACAACAATTAGATATTCATCTGGCATTATCTTGCATAAAACAAAACAATATCAAAGAAAAAAATATTTATTCAACACATTGCCTACTATTTTAAATAAAATTAAATTAAAATTCTGAACCATGCCTTTGTTACCTGAAACAGGTCTATGTGCACTGTCCACGTCCCAAACAATAGATATTCACAACGGAAACTTCAGCATGACAGAAGGTCACGCCGACCATTGAAATCCCGCACCAAACGTATATGCCCTGCAGTACTGAAACAAAGACACGCCGATAAGTATGCCTTGTATTAAAGACGCGAGGCACACATTTGTTTCAAGCCAACATTGTTTTGTATCGCTCTTTACTGAACCGCACATATGAATTGTCGGAATGTATATATTAGACTTATCGTTGTCCTAGAGGTAAGACGTGGCTTTTTGTGACACTGTTTTCGAAAATATAAACCAGAATTATGGAGCCAAACGTATTTCACATGAGTGGGCTTTAGTGGGTTTAACATAAATAATGACACATTTACGCATGGTTAAAACGTGAAATATATTTAAAACTGTGATGTTCGCCAGTAGTAGGATCGATTGTGTAACAGCTTTCCAGAATGATATGACGGGTGACATTTTGTCTCAGGTTGTGACAGCCTGATGTAATGAGCAAAAGATAGCTCGTTGTTATATTCATTATCCTAAATATTTAAATATGAATCAGGGTTAGACTGACCTTCGTAATTGTTACAGGGAAGGTGTTTTTTTTCATTGTGAACATAGTAGATACGGCAAATGTTGGCGGCTGCTTGTCCTTGTAGCAACGTAATAAATTCCCGAGTGCGAAATCGGCACCTTCGGAAGCGCTCGTTAAATCTCCAACATCATCATCATCATCAATAAATTGCATGATACTATGGACATTAATTTTAGAATCAGTCTCCAGTTTTCAAAAGAGTGAGAGAGTGAGTTGGGTTTAACGCCGCATTTAACAGTATTCCACTTATATCGCGGCGTGTCAGCTTCATGTTGGAGGAAAGCCCGAAGTGACGCATGTCTCAGACGTTTTACCACTACGGTGAAACCCGCGTGCACGGGTATGATGCTGAAAAACCTAGAAACATTATCGGGGCGAATCCACAATGATAGGTTTCTGGCGTGCCCAAGGGATGCAACTCTGCACAGCGAATCGAGGCGCCTTAGACGACAGGGCCACCCGTGCCCCTGTTTCAAAAGAAAAGCCTCTACCACGTAAATACGGTTTTCTTAACCACTATATTCGATTATACGTTTGTTGATGTTTATTTAGTTTGAGTTTTACTGTTTTAAACTTCAAGAATTTATATTCCGTTCACGATTGTCAATATAGCCCCGTCCGCAGTCTAACATGGCCGCAATAACCGCCATATTGGATATAAATAAGAGAATTGTGTTTAACGTCCCTTTGAACGGTATTCAGCTTAATGTGTGAGGATATCCCCAAATGACACAGGACGTATAAACGTTCATTTTAATGAAATTAACGTGCACAAGCATGGTTCCGACAGTTAGAGGATCATAATTGGATCATAATCAAAGGATCCTGGCACGCTTATGGGGCACAACTCTACACAGTGGGTCACGGCGCTGAAGACCACTGGGTCACTTAGGTCCCACACTGGATATGAACAATTAATATACCAATGTCATTCGACATGTTTGAAACTGTAAGACTGGCAAACTAGCTGGAGATATATCGTGGTCCTTCAAAATATATGTAAACAGTACTTTATGCTGATCTGGATTTCAGCTATAATACAACAACCAATCTTGTAACAAAACATTTAAATAACAGCATGTTCAGTTTCGTCAGTGTGCTTGTATTTGAGAGGGTTATTAGCATGTAGAGGGGTGCATGCACTAAGGCAACCTCCCTTGGCGAAACTTACAAGGAGGCCTCGACCTTTACGTTTAAAAGAACATGGAACAACATGACATAGCAGGCGGCCATTGTCGTCTGTGGTATTTCAGTTATTCAGTCATTGATTTGTTGCAAAATCTAAACATTCAAAGTCTGAGATCCTCCAATCACCCCCGCGCCTGTTCCTCCCGTGAAGATTAGGACGAAATCGTACATAAACAGGTGGCCGACCTGTTGCTTCTGTACTTCTCCATTTAGTGCTAGTTTGTTTGTTTGTTTGTTTGTTGTTTAACGCCGCACTCAGCAATATTCCAGCCATATGACGGCGGTCTGTAAATAATCGAGTCTGGACCAGACAATACAGTGATTGATATCATGAACATCGATCAACGCTATTGGGATACGATGACATCCATCAACCAGGTCAGCGAGCCTGACCACCCGATCCCGTTAGTCGCCTCTTACGACAAGCATTGCTTACCCGGATCGTCACCTGGTCAGTCATTGCTAGTAGATGGCTCTACATGGTGTACAACACGGAGTAATGTGAGGAGGATGTTTGACTGCTTCCACACAGTGTTGTCTATGGTCGATTATTAATCCATCCAGATACATAAACTAGGTTATGTACATTACTTTCTATGTGTACACTAGTACGTCGTGTCGATTCCGCTAGACGCACGAAAGGAACTGTACATCGACATCGGCACCCTGCAATGTCAAACCAACGTCATTCAATACTGGAATCAATAGACAAGGAGCAGTCATTAGGTGCCGTTTATTTATACATACACAACCCACAATCGTTGTCAACGAATTCAAACAAATCGAAAGTTTTAAATGTTGTTTTTTAGCACTGTATGCACAAACTTCTTTATCTCCAGTAAACACACAACAACCCACATTGTAAACTTTCATAGTGATGATGGATTTTTATGTTTAATCAAATATAATCGATTTGGTGGTTTAGATTTTAATTTCCTTATTACATTGTATAACCTATCTATTTAGGTATATAAGAGCAGTATGTTTTTCTATGTTTTAATACAATATTGAATTTAATCGGCCCAAACAAAACTGAAATAATACATACCATTTGGAACGTATTGTTTCTAAACACCATGTCTAATACTAATACAAATTATTATTTTCTATTGTAAAAAGTGACACACATCACGGTATGCAATCAGATAAAGCAATTAAAAAACGTATACATGTACATAATAGTGTTGATACTTACAGTCACATTCAGTTCTGAGAATCTTAACGAGCACCTCCTTCAGCACCGGACCCGTGAAGATCCAGGTTAGAATAGGTCTTCAGCAACCCATGCTTGTCGTAAGCGGCGACTGATGGGATCGTGTGGTCAGGATCGCTGAGGTGCGTGTCATTGTATCCCATTTGCCTGGACCAAAGCTCGTGGTATTGTCAATGGTTTGTCTGGTACAGACTCGACTATTTACAGATCGTCGTTATATAGCTGAAATATTGCCGAGGGCGGCGTCAAACAACAAACAAACATAATGTTGTTTAGTGCAATTCTCTATTTAATCTTGCATTCAAAGAAAAAAGCATAACAGTAACTAAACCCATTTAGCAAGCAGAACGCACATCAGATTCTTTGAAGATTTTGCCACATCCTCTTTGTTTTCATAACTGTAAACGTGCAATTACTTTAAGAGTTGGCTTTCACTCTGTGTGAGTTCTTTGGAGTATGTGCCTTCATTGAGTGAGGGGGCGGTCGGGTAGCCTAGTGGTTAAAGCGTTCGCTCGTCACGCCGAAGACCCGGGTTCGATTTCCGACATGGATACAATGTGTGGAGCCCATTTCTGGTGTCCCCCACCGTGATATTGCTGGAATATTGCTAAAAGCGGCGTAAAACCAACCTCACTCACTCACTCACTCATAGAGTGAGGGCCAAACTGTTTGACCGTCGGAGCTTGCATTCCGAGACCAAGCAGACATACTGAAATAACAATTCATTATTTTAGTCTTATCGTGTTTATTAACAGAAATCGCCCACATTGGACATCAAATGTCCAACTGTCGCATCACCCACAATCCTACTGTATACACCTTTACTTCACGTAAACACTCGTAGGCGTCACCATGACAACGCCATAAGCTACTGTGACAATCACAATCAAAATTTAATCAATAGACCATCCGTGTATACTTACTAAAATAGACATGACACGACATAAGCACACGCAGTGGCATGGAAGCTTTAGCTATATAAAGCATGCACCAGTGCAACATATTATTGAAAAATGCAACCTTTTATTCGTGTCTACAAGAACCCAGGGCATGTTAGAGGAAATTCCAAATTTGTCTCTGCCAAAACCTTGCTGGTAAACACAACATTCAGCTCTTTGAACACATTAATACCTCTCAGGTGTATTTACCATACTACCCTGTACATCACTGATCCCTTTGTTTCAATTATGATAAATTTATTGGAACAGGGTGCAACCTAGTTTTGTCTAGTGCAACTGGGTTTTCATATCAATATGCACCTGGTGCAAGTAAAATCTAGATCTTAAAGTCGAGCCCTTACGATTACCCGAGAAGCCCTGGGTGTTGTTCAGTCAGTTTAATGATAAAAAGAAAAAGGTAAAAAGAAAATATTCTGCCTGCCTGGCGAAATACCTGGTTATTTCCAATCCCGATTAGAGATGTGCAACTAGGAAGTAAACAGGAAGGATCCTGTGGGGTGGCCTCTCATTGTGTACCCAAACACGAATTGGCGGTTCGCTGTGTATACATTTAAAACATACACATCACCCCAAGTCATACCATACACATCAGCCCAAGTCATACAATACACATCACCCCAAGCCACACAATACACATCACCCCAAGCCATTATAACAACTGGAAGTACATGCACAATGAGTGAGTGAGTGAGTATGGTTTTACGCCGCTTTTAGCAATATTCCAGCAATATCACGGCGGGGGACACCAGAAATGGGCTTCACACATTGTACCCATGTCGGGAATCGAACCCGGGTCTTCGGCGTGACGAGCGAACGCTTTATCCACTAGGCTACCCGACCGCCCCGGAAATACATGCATAATGCAAAATATCCTTTATGGTGATGAATATGTAGCTGAAATTCTATAACACTATAATTTTATCGGGGTTAATATATTGGAGTAACTCTTTGTTAAAGTACATAAAATCACTCTGTGGCCATTTACTCTTAATTACGACGTTAGTGTATGACTTAAGGCATATGTGTGTGTGTGTGTGTGTGTGTGTGTGTGTGTGTGTGTGTGTGTGTGTGTGTGTGTGTGTGTGTGTGTGTGTGTACGTGAACATCACTAGTTGTATCCCTTATAGCACTTTGGACAACCTC